GATGAAGAACTGAGGCAAATAACAAGGCAAAAGGAAAAATCAAGAAGCTCTAAGGATGCAGTGGTAGGAATGGCAAGACGCTTATATAAGTAAGCTAGATGCCAGCGACTGGGGATCATAAAGGAGAGAAGCAGGACAGATGCTAAGACCTAGTTGTCCTCCATGTCACTGGAAGAAATATAGTTTTTGATTTCCATCTGATTCAAACCCAGTGAGAAGTGGGCTTGGGTGTGGGTTCACTTTCCAGTTCAGTAAGGGAGAAAACAAAGAGGATGTAGCCCCCAATGGTAGCAAGTCTTCTAACTTCTCACCAATCTGGAATGTTTTCTTGGGCCTGGGGAGGAGAACGGACATAGAAATGGAAGAAGTTTGCTCAGAATTTACATTTGCAGAATAAAATCAGGAATGTGCATTAATGGCAAACATTCTCACTATTCTCTAGGAACAGAAGTTATTGAGTCTAAGTTTGTCCCTGGCCCTACTCTACTGTCTGCCCAGTGCCCACTCTAGGAGAACAGGACACAATAGGTTAATAATTTGTCCCTAGGATTAGCCATTGCTACTTGTAACCCTTGCTCCAAAGCCCATTGGTATGAGATTCTCTCCTTATTGATAGAGTAGAGGACTGAGAGAAATGATTATCAAATAAACCATTGTTAATATTGAGGAGATCCAGGATTTTTTCTCTTCCTATTTCCTCATTTGGGGATTAGGTCAAAGTTTAGTTCTCTGAAGGGCCGAGCTAATGATGAGATGAAATCTTGGGGGAGACTTACCCAGTTGGGAAAGCTTAGAACTGATCAAAAATTAAAGGGATTGTAGCCTAGGTGAATTCTGGCCCATTGTGTTTTAATCAGACAGATCTGAGTGGAGATGGATCCCCTTTGTCTGGACTGCTCTAGGTGAGGGTGGTCTGGGTAGAGATAAGTCTCTTTGTCCAAGACTGAGTGATCACAGTCAAGTCCCCCAGCCCCTCATTAGAATAGGTCTACTTCTCATTATAATATTCCTTCCCTCATGAATTGTTAACCAATCAGAGTTGATTGCCACCTCTTGGGAACACCCACTCTTCCAAGGATATATAAGAGTCAAGAGACCTCCAGGAAGGGCCTTTGGTTTAGGGGAGAAGGCCAAATGACCATCCTTTTATTAACTATTTGCTAGCTATAATTAATAAAATGATTAATTACCCAGAAATTATGTCTCTCAAACTTTCCATACATCACAAGAAGCTGCCCTGCATGAACCTTCAATAGTATCTTTTGGGACCCTCCAAGTAAGAGTTCCCTTTGTGTCCCCTTTCAGAACTCTTCAGGGCCAGTCCTCCTTTGGGACTCCTCAGTTTCTCAGTTTCCTTTGAGCATTGAGTTGGCTTCCAGCTTCAAGAGAAAAGGCAAAAGAAGCCAATTCCACTTGAGGTTATTGAAGGAAAAGAATCTAGGAAGCTATGAGAAGAGCAGGCAGTCTCCATCATATACCTATTTCCAGCTTGCTTCTCTAAAGGCTTGGGAGTTTCCCCTTTGGTGAGATTCAGAATCCTCTCTCTTGTGCTGAGCTATCTTGCTTCCAATGGGAGAGGTCCTTGATTCTGTATTGTCTAGTATATATTCTCCTATTTATACCTTCTCTGATTTTGCTACTATTTGGATAAATGGATTTCTTTGCTATTTTCTATGTGTATTCATTATGAAACTGGTATTAGGTTGAAAAGGGGTAAGCCTTGGATATAGAGTTTAGGGTCCCCCTTAGCTCCAAAATGACCAAGTGATCAGAAGTTAGATGGAACCCAATCGTATTCCCTGTAATATTTAAGGGAATAGATGGATATACTTCTAGTGTGGTACCATCTTCTCCTCTGAGGAGGGAACCCTTAGTCCCAATTTCTTGCTTCCTCTCTTGGCTAGAATAAACATCTTGCCTCAGAAACACCCCTAAGCTTCTTACTTACATTCCATCTCTATGCAGAACTCTTTCCAAGAAGTAAATCTCTTAACCTGAAGCACTGTGGGAATGCAGCTGTCCTCTTTCCTAATGCTTCCCACTGTTAGTATCTGCCCTCCCAGGATGACTGCTTAATTTCTGTGTAGTTCATATCTACTTATCTGGGCACATATTGTTTCCCATATTTCATTTTTGTCATTGTATCCTCAGCACCTGGTAAAAAACCTATAACAAAGTAGATAATTAGTAAATGCTTTATCAATTGAGAGACATGATATCCTTCAACATAGCTTATTTGCTTTACTTATCAACTTTATATAAGCCTTGACCCTCTGGACTCATATGAATCAGGTCTGATTTTAGGGGTTGCCTAAAAAGATCAACATCTCTTTGTTATACTAACCTTCCCCCTGCCTCTCACCCCCACTCTACTCTGAGAAAATCACAAAACAAAGCTCTATCCCTTTTCACTGACTGTCCTTTAACCCTGAAATGCTCCTTCCTCTCATCCTGTTGGTTTTCCTAGCTTCCTTCCGCACTCAAGTCCTACCTTCAGCAGGAAGCCTTTTCTTGTCTCCCCCCTTAAAGTACCAATGTATCTACTCATTCAAGGTTTAAGGCATGTCTCAAGAAAAGCTCTGCTCTTCCCTGACTTTGTATTCTATGACCTGTTTAACACAACTACTATAACATAATTTGTTATTTCATTTCATTTCAACCTCAGTGGTCCCTCAGTCAAAAAGAGGTGAAGGGTTAACTAGAGATTCATTATAAATGTACATTAAGAGAGTCCAACCTCATCCTAAATGTTAGGAATTTCTAATCCTAACTTCCTGTTCCAAGGTTGGAGCAATTGTAATTGTGATAAACTTCCTAAAGCCAAAGAAGAGGGAACCATTGGACCTTAGCAACTATTATATTGCCTCTTGGCTTAAAACAAGTTAATTATTAATAGGATGTTAACACTATATCATTCAGAAAGAGTATCTTGCTTATTAATTTTAATACATTTACACAAAATGTTTCTAAATAATCAAGATGAGGGAAGGATTGTACATAAGTTCAGAACAAATCAGATCTATATCTTGCCACTGGACCCAGATGACTCTGGAGGAGAAAGTGAGGCTAGTGACTTTGCATAGCCCTCTCTCACTTAAATCTAATTCACTTGCAAGTCATAGCATCACCTTCCTGATCCTCTTCAAGATCTCTCTGAGAATAAGGACAAACATCTTCAGTTTATCCGTCATTTCTCAAGATCCCCAAATTATGGTGTGATTGCAATCACTACAGGATAGTCAGGGAATGGCATTTGCTTCCTTCCTTTTGATTTTGGCCTGACTTTAAGTATTACAATTTAATATCAGAACATTTAGAAAGAAAACTTCTTGGAAGAAGGTTCTGGGAAGAAGGTGTATTTTTCCCTCTGGCATCTAGCATAATGCCTTGGATTCGTTCACTTTCTTGACAGCGAGCATTTATTAAACGCTTACTACATGCTAGGCACCGTGCAAAATGCTAGGGACACAAAGAAAGACAAAAAAGAGTCAGCCATCAAGAAGCTCACATTCTATTTGGAGGGGAGACAAGAAGCAAACAACTATGTACATTCAAGATATATACCGGGCAAATTGGCAGTAATCTAGAAGAAGGGAGGTGACTGGGAAACCCACCTTGGAGAAGAAATTTGAGCTTTGTTTTTAAAGACGCTAGGCTTGGGAAAGCCAGGAGCCTGGAGGTGAGGAGGGAGTGCATCTTAGGCTTGGGGGTCAGCCTGTGAAAAGGCACAGAGAAAAGCTAAGACAAGACAGAATTCTCGGTTATGCCTCAGCCCTGCTTCAGACCTTAGCCTGAGCTATGTTCCCTGACCTCTGGAAAAGCTGATAGATGCACAATGATAAAAATCAGGTTCAACCCGTTTAATGTTGTTCTTGACAGAAATGCAGCTTGGTGTGGTGAGAAAAAGCACTTCGTCAAGACCTAAGTTCAAATCCAAACTCCCACACTCAACTGTGTGAGCCTAAGGCAAACCCCAACTCTTCAGAGTTGGAAGAAAACTCGGAGTTGGAAGCGACCTAAGGTCGTTAAACCGACCGACTAATGGAAGGGGATCCTGTTTCCTGGAAGCAACCCTGACGTCATTTATACGGGAGGTCCAGGGTGACTCAGAGGATGTAGGTGGGACGTTTTGGAGTTTTGGGGGAAGCGTGGAGGGAGGGGGTTGGAAGGTGACAGCCTCCACCTGCCAGCTGGGGGACAGCATTTCCTCCTTGTAAAGGAGAAGACCCTAGCTTTCTAAAAGCAACGAGAACCAAAAGCTAAAGGGAAATTAAATTATTCATGAAAACTCCCCTTGTCGTGATACCTCTTCCTTTTCTAGGGAAAGAGAGAAGTAAACTATGATTAGTAATTAGTTGATAAAGTACTACTAGTACTTTTAGTACAATAGTGTTTTAAGGTTGGTAAAGGTTTTATTTACATAGATGAACTAACTGGAGACAGAGTAAACAAGTCTGACACACAATCCTGACGTCCAAGCACTTTTCTGCCCCAGGCAGTTCGGCACTAAGAGGATTAAAGGTGGGTGGGTGTGGGGGGGGGAGAGAGGGAGAGAGAAAGAAAGGCAGCTCTGCGCCTGCGCAAGACCACCTATGAGGTAATAGAACGAGACTTAGAGGATCACGTGTATCTCTATGCAAACATTCTCTTCTACTTCCCTACAAGGACATAGACTGCGTGGCCCTGCCCTTTGTTGAGCTTTGGAATGTGAGGTAAGGCCAATGCCTGGGGCCAGAGTCGACCATCTTTCCAAACAACTAGGGGAGGAGAAGAACTAAATTATGACGGCTAACCCCGAGGAACCAAAGAATTTCACTTAAAAGTAATATCACCAAGCACCGTCATTCATTGCTCTGCATACTGTGTCATGCTTATTACTTTTCCTCAATCCACTTGTTGTCTTTATAGCTTGATGCTGTCTATCCTTCCCCTCCTTTTCTCATTAGAAGGGCCCCACTATTCGGCAGAAAATGGAGCCCAGCCCGAAGTTCCTTCCGGTTTGTGCGTCGGCGCCGGAAGTGCCGGGGCTCGCGGCTGATTCCTGGGCAGTAGTGAGCTGAGTGGATTGTAACGCCGAGTAGCCGCCGTCTCCTCCCTCATCTCCAGCCTTGTTGCGGGGCGCGTTGTCGTTTGTCGCCGCCATTCTTGAGTTCTCAGCCGCCGCAGGTGAGTGGTGCTCGCGACGCCGGTAGCACCTGCGTCCCGCCAGAGCCCTTCCTAGAGGGACGACGCCTGGAGGGTCGGCAGGGCTACCCCGCCCCTCCCCCAACTCTGACCCCGCGGGGTCCGGGGAAGGGGTTGTCCTAGAACCCCGCCCGGCACCTTCATCTGGGAAGATTGCAGCTGGAAGCGAGGCTCAGCTCGCCCCAATCCAGACTTGGTTCTGAGGGGGCTCAGCCCTGAGGGAGTGAATGGTAGGAGGGGGTCTCCGGGGCTGACCCCACGGGCCTCCTTGCGGTGGCCGGCCCGAGCTCCTTCTGGGCCGCAGACCTGTGCATGAACTGGGAGGTTCTGTACCCGTCTGGGAACTTTTAACAACACTTTTGCTAATTGCATTTCAGTGTACTTGTTTTCACTTGAAATTTTGAGTACTGTATTTTGTGCATTTACACACATTCTGAGGAAGGGTTCTTGGGCCAAAGCGGCAGAGGGCGAGAGGGAGGTGGTTCTTGAAACAAAAAAGGTTAAGAACCCTCAATAATTATTCCACTTTGGGAAGTTTTGCCTTAAGTTCCGGAGCCCATTCTATAGTTGGCTTGCTTTTTGGGACATAGTAATTGAGGGCATTCTGTAGATTGTGACTCAGTACGACTTTTTGAGCTTGTAGAGAGCAGTTTAAAAATCTTACGGTTGTGTCTGGGATTTCCGACAGATCCAATATTCAACAAATGTTTGTTATAGGCTAAATTGTTTGCTTTAAAAAATTAAGCTGGTTGTTAGGTACGTTTTTTAAATAGCTTATTTGCAGGAACCTAGAAGGGGATACACACGAGCGACTTGGTTTCTTTTTCTCATCTCTTAAATGCACAAGGAACGGGGTAAAACTGCAAGAGAATGGAGATTATTCTTAAAGTTACTAGTCTAGGTGAGATTTATTTTAAAAAAAAATGCTGGACGTGGGCACATTTAGCAAACTTAACTTTTTAAAGGTAGTGTTGAAGATTAATGCCTTTTGCTTCAGGAACAGTCCCAGTTCTGCAAATTGCAACCAAACTACTTTAGATAAACTTAACCACTGGTGGGGTGTGGCAGTCAAACTAACCCTGCTTTGAAAACAGGAAGTTAAAATAGAGTAGCACTGTTGGAAACCAAGCAGGTATTTAACTTTTGGAAAATGGGACTGAAAAAAAATATTAGCACAGCCAAATTGGAAAACTAGTCAGCAATAAAGTAAGAACATATGTAGACTAGTTTGAAACGTTACAGATCTAAAAATAAACTGTCTCAAAATATGTTTAGCACTTTGTTACTGCACAAAATAAAGTTTCTTGTTTTCTAGCATATAAATTTTTTTTAAAGTTATCCAACTTCTAGATTTTGTGTACAATCATAATAATTATCAGGGTGTAGCAAAAGAAACACTGGTGGGTTTTTTTTTTTAATGCTACAACTTTGGCTTTAGGAAAATGCATTTTGTACCTTGGCAAAATAATGCTAGCTATAGAAAATATAATTTTAAGTAGGCCATTTTCCATTTATATATTGCAGTTTGTAATCACTTCATAGTTCTGTGGTTACTTGTGGCAAGCTGATGAAAAAGGTGACTTAATTCTTTAGGGATGAAATGGCCTGTGATTACTTGAGTAGTTCAGGAAGATGCCCTGTAGCTTGTTAGACTCTGGATTCTCTAACATTCTTAATAATGTCATGATACCTTTAGGATTTAGAGATTAGAGATCGAGTCCAGATCCCTCATTTTATAGATGAAAACTTCAGAGAGGTTTGTTGACTTGCCCAGGAGTTTCACATGCAAGAGCTTTGATTCAGGCACAAGTCCTCCTTCAGAGCCAGTGTTCTTACTACACAATGCCAGCCTTTTTAAAAAGTTTTTATCTTAGTGACTCCCAGTTTTCTCATGTCAGATTTGAAAACTCAGATAAGTTACCTTTTCTCAGTCTCTCTTGAACTCATTTTAAATCAGCCTGTGCTCTATGGATTACCTGGAGATTGATATATTTTCATTAACATCCCTGAGGGCAATTTGGAAGCCCCTGGGTAAGGGGGAAAGCTTGTAAAGATTCCCTTAATCTCACTGTTTCTAGTTATACCTAACCTAGAATGTCTCCATAAAAACTCTTTTAAAATGTTCAAAATTAACCATTTGGGGATGCTGGGTGGTACAGTGGTTAGAGCACTGGGCTTGGAGTCAAGAACACCTCAGTTCAAATACTAGCTTGAGAACTGCGTGACCCTAAGCAAGTCACTTGACCTCTTTTTGCCTCACTTTCCTCACCTGTGAAAAGGGCATAATAATAGCAGTTACCTCCCAGGGTTATGAGGATCAAATGAGTGTAAAGGCTTTTGGCGCATAATAAGCACTATTTAGATATTAGCTGTTATTATTCAATTTTCTGTTTATTTTTATTAGCCTTTCATTATTCATAACTTTTAAGCCAAAGTATGGCTAATACGCAAGCAGTCCTTTGTATTATAGCTGTGGTTTGTTGAACTTCCCCCTATCCTATCCCACCAGAAAAGGAATGCTTGCAGATTATGTGAGGCCTTTAAAGCTATGTTTACAAATGATGGGGAGGCTAGGTGGCATAGTGGATAACATTCTCAGACACTTAATGGCTGTGTGACCCTGGGCAAGTCACTTCACCTGTTTGTTTCGGGTTCCTCATCTGTAAAATGAGAATGGTAATAGGACTTACCTAAAAAGGAGTCTGACGAATATCAGATGAGATAATGATTAGCACACTGTCTAGCTCGTAGTGCTATATAAATGTTACTATTATTAATAACTTTCTGTAGCCAAATTTATACTTGCTTGTTGAAAAGTTTAATTAGCTTAACTTGCAGAGAGTTATGCCTATGACCGAACGGCAGGAAGATCCCAGAGAATATAGACTGGATTTAAAAATGAAATCCAGAGGGATGGGGGGAAAGGCAACTGATCTCAGCTTTTCAACTTGATGTAAGAGGCATTTAGGAGCCTTTTACTTTGTTGAAGGTAAATATGGGGCTCTGATTGGCATGGGGAGACTAAACATGGCAAGGCACAACAAATTAAAGGCAGTGAAGGAAAACAGTCCTTGCCAGCCATCTCCTTTTTTTTTCCACCTTCATATGTGAACACCCCTCGAGTATCTTTAGAGAAAAATGTTTTTTGATAAATATGATGGCAGAGTTTTTTCTTTAATTTTTGCTTGGCGCTCCAAAAAGTTCTGAAGCTGTGTTTTGAATTTCAGTATCAAGTGTACTTATTTGCATGTGAGCATAAAAAATACATTCCAATTCAGGTACAGATAGCTTTTTCTGAATTTTTAAAATTTTGGCTTAGCCATACAATTCTGTCCTAATATGACAAGGAGAGAATTTATTCTCTTGTACTACACCAGTAGAAATCCTTGCTAACCTTTCAGGTCTACACAGGAAAGAAGTTCCTGGCTATACTTGGACAACATAGTAAGCATTCTGCTGTGTGAAATTATTAGTTATTGGATATAGTCAAGCATTAGCTAAAAGTATTTTAGAGCAGGAAAGAGACTTTAGCAATCTACCCCCATAGAAGAGATTGTATTCAAAGAGGTTAAGTGACTTCATGAAAGTCTAAATAGCTAGTTTGTAGTAGAGCTGGAACTAGGACCAAGAACTTTTCACTATACTACAATAGACAGAAAGTACTGTCTCTTCCAACTCTGAAATATTTTTTTCCCAATTAAGAACCAATTGAAGCCTCTATAACCATAAAGCTTTTCTGGTTCAAGGTGACTTCTCTCTCTCTCCTAAACTAAGTACCATTCATTTGACCATAAAGCATGTACTCCCCTGTGATATCTCTTGTGTTTTTGTCACCTTTAAATTTTTCACATAATTGGCATGATTATAAAGTAATGCAAAAAATAGTATTCTTTTATAATTACATCCAAATTTACACCTTTGTTTCAATAGCCGTTCAATAAATTTCTTGATTCTAAGACCATGCCTTACATTTGTTAATTATATATAGTATGTGAATGAGGATTCTATGGGAGGTCAAAAAAAGCCTTTTCATGTGAAACTTGCTCAGTTTTTGATAGTTTTCAAACTACTTAAGTTTCTTTATCACTTGTCCTTGGAGTAGCAGACTAAAATAGAGGAATAAAGTAAAAAATTACTATTTCATTATCAACAGGTAGCAAGTTGTATTCCACCAAATTTGTTCACATCTAAACTTACACACAGATCACTCAATTTTGAGAAGAGTCTTTTAGTTTTTCATCATTTTCATAGTTATTTTAAAATAATTTTTAGTTTTAAAACAGATAGGTAGGTGGCACAATGAATAAAGTGCCTGGGCAAGTCATTTAACCTGTTTCCTCATCTGTAAAATGGGTAATAATAGCACCTACCTTCCAGGATTGTTGTGAGGATCAAATGAAATAATAATTGTAAAGTGTTTATCACAGTGTCTGGTAACATAGTAAGTGCTATGTAAATATTAGCTATTATATTGATACTTTGTGTTTTTACAACACCAAATTTCCCAATACTTCTCTCCTTCAAACCTCAGATAGCAATCTCTTTTAACAAGAAAGAAAAAGAGGGAAGGAAATTGAACAGTTCAGGAAAACTAACCAAATATAGAAAAAGTCTGACATTACCTGTGGTACATTCCCTCACTTTTAAGCTCCACTTCAGTATCTCATTATGTGGAGGTAACCCTTATGCCAGAAGAGGAGCAATGTATGTCTAAAAACACTCTAGTTAATTTAATGTCTCCAAAAAATTGATAACATTTTTAAAAATTTTAAAGGTTTTTTAAAATTAAGCTTAGTTAAGTTTTAGGATTTTGTTTGAATAAAACTAGTATCCTTTGTGATTGAATATTTCATAGACATTTCTCTTAGAAAATACAAATGAAATCTCTTGGATGCATACCCTAATGAAATGTGCTGCTCACCTCTGTGGGCTGGTATTAGATTATATATAGCGGCAGGAGAACTAAATTCAGGAACTTGAAAAAACCGGTATCGCAACACTTTTTGGTCTAGAACTGGAGTGGGGAAACCTTAAGCCTCATAGCTACATCCCTTAATAAAAGGATTTGTTCTGTAAAACTTGGACTTAGTCAAAAGGCTGCACACCGAAGACCTGGAAGGCCACGTGTGGCCTCAAGGCCGCAGGTTCCCCATCCTTGGTCTAGAAAGAATGCTGTGCATACCCTAAAAAGCATGATGGTTGTGGATTAAATATACAGACAAATCTTGGAATATTTGAAATTGGAGGTACCCCTTAAGGTTTCAAATAAGCAAAATTAAGATAGATAATATTGCTTCAGTACAGAGGGGTGTAAAAAGTAAGAACAAGTACTGGCTGAAGCTACAACTTCAATTATAGATAAATTTGAACAGATTAGGACAACTAGAGGTCTGGGGATGATGAGTAATGGATAAATTTGCACTTAGCTTTTCAGTCTGTCATGGCAAATACCATACTTTACCACAACATTGACCCCTGGTATGTGTGGTATTTTGTTTTATGACATTTTTATGTTAAGACTCTGAAATGAGAATCTAAGAAAACAGTGAGGGTTATACTTTTATGAATTTAGTGATGAAACTGTAATAGGGAATGTAAGTAACCAAAAAGAGAAAGAATTGATGAGTCAGTCATGGGAGCCATCTGTTCAAAGCTAATATAATAAATAAAAATTTTTCATTGCTATGCTAAACACTTCATTTATAGAAAGAAATTTATGGCACAGAGATCTAGGTGATAGTTCATTCTTTGGAGTCCAGGGATTTATTTTTAGTACAGAGGATAGTGTTTTTCAGTGTCATAGATGAATGTTGTATATGGAACGTAAGTTTTAAAATTGTTATACTGGTCAGTGGATGAAATCAGTAGTGGCTATTTGTAGATGTAGCTAGAAGAATATAACTCATTACAGAGTCCCATTCTTTTTAGCCACAGCTTTTGCAGATTACTAGCCGGATCTCAGCTCAGCCATGGTACAGTAAAATATTTTATTGTTAAATGGTTGTGGGGCTTGTAATAACTATATAAGCCAGTTTTAGGTTCTTTGAGAGGCAGAATATTTTAAAGGAATTATTGCTTTTGTTGCCAAAGATCAAACTGTTTGTTTTATTCCTGGACACTTAAATTTTAGTTGTAATATTTCAGTGTGTTTCAGTTAAGATTGGTAATTATTTTCATATCTATCTTTATTGATAATTTGTATAAAATTTATTTTACCATGTGTGTATTTGTTTTATTTTTTAAAAAATCAACTACCTAGCTATTATGAGTGATTTCCTGTACTACAAGTTAAAGTCCATTGGCAATTCAGGCTTAAGGGTATTTGGCAGTAGGAAGTACTGGGTGAAAAATCTATTCCTATAATTGTATTTCACAGCTACTCTATACCCTTATCTTTCTTCCTGCCCTATAAAGCAGCAGCTATATTAAAGAAAGAGAAGAAAAGTCTCTGAAGAGATGGGAAGAACACCTTATAATAATTAACATTACTACTACCCTGTGTCCCATGAAAGTTTAACTTTTAAAGTGTAAAACTGGCATTGATGCCCTAGTAGTTAGGTACATTTCTTTACAGCCATTGTACAGTTTATTTGTTGAGTTTTTCACTCTGGTGGCTTGTTAAATGTTTGGTGGGGGTTTTTTTTGTTTTTTAATTAAGGAAATTGGAATGTCATTTCTGTTAAAAGTCCACAGTAGTGCTGTGCATGTCTCATCAGTTTGATGTCAGCTTTGAATTTATCACTTTGGTGTTTGTGAATTATAAAGCCCAGGTCTTTTGGAACCTACCTAGAAGCCCAGTCAAAAAACAAAACAAAACACCCCAATTTTTTTTTTCAATTCTTTACCATTTTTATTTAAAGTTTTCGGTTCCAAATTCTGTCCCTCCGTTCCCTCTCTCCTTCCTGAGACAGTAAGCAATCAGATATAAGGTATAGATATATAATTATGTAAAACATTTCCTTATTAGTCATCAAAAAAACTTTCTTAAATATTAAGGGTGACTGGTCTCAACAGTATGAATTCTGGTTTCTCCCTCAGCACAAATGCATAACTAAATAATAAGTGTATGGGTTGTAGAAGAAAAGGGCCCTAGTGATAGTGACTTCAGATAAAGATATCTTGCTAATCGAGGCATGAATATAACGGTATATTCTTCATATCCTTTACTTTTTGGAAGTTCTTCATTTGTCATATGTTGTAACCTGTTCACACCAACCCACCAGGTGCTTCTTCATTTCCCTTTCCATGATTTGTAGAATAGTAATGATAAAAAAAAGGTCATAGGAACATAAATTTAGAACTGGAAGGGACCAAAGGCCATCTAGTCCAACTCCCTCCTCCTTCCCCCACCCCCCAGTTCCAAGTGATTAAAGGGGCTTTGCAATAACCTGAAAATAATCCAGCCTGCTAACCCTCCTATTTAGTTCTGCAGCCAACAGGTACTTATTCACTTATGTAAGAGAATGTATGATAATACATATAAATTTTAAAAAGATGGACAGGTTATGTGGTGAAGGATTACAGATAAGCTATTCATGTACTCCTCTGTTAAGAAGGTCTTCCTCCTTATCCTTTCCCGACCTTCCCAATTTATGAGAGAACATGGACAAGAGTCACAGAATGGATAGGTATAGATGGGTTGCGATCTTTATCACTGGAAGAAATCAAAATCAATGAGATCACAGATTCATTTGAGTCTTGATCAATTTACCAGTAAAGTGGCTCAACTTTTAAATTCTTTTAATTTAGGTTGTGTTCTTGTGTTTTTAATTTCTTTTTCCTCGCTAGGACGTAACAGTCAACATGTCAAGCAAAAGGGCAAAGACAAAGACCACCAAGAAGCGCCCTCAGCGTGCAACTTCAAATGTATTTGCTATGTTTGATCAATCACAGATACAGGAATTCAAAGAGGCCTTCAATATGATTGATCAGAACCGGGATGGTTTTATTGACAAAGAAGATTTACATGATATGCTCGCTTCCTTAGGTAACCATGGATTATTTTTTTTTAACTGTTTTACATACACACATTATAGAGTATCTTAGAATGTTTTGTATAATAAGTTTTAAAATACTAAAACGATTGCAGTACAGTAGTAGCCACTGAGGGTCAAACCAGGTCTTAGAAGCTTGGAACAACCAAAAGCAGCTTTTGGAACTGTTCTCTAGAACCTCATGATGGAGGTAAGATTATTAGCAAAATTTTAAGATGGACCTCGCCACTAGCTTATTACCTTATTTGAGATATACGGTTTATAATTATTAAGCACCTACCTAGTTTTAGTGTTCAATAAATGTTCCATACTAGATGCTAGGAGTACAAAGATAAAAAATGACACAGTCTTACTGTCAAGGAATTTACATATTAGTAGGAGGATAAGATATACATAAACTATAAATTAAAATGTAATAAATGCAGAGATTCAACTTGAGGATGGCTAGGAAGACTGAATAAACTCAAGGTAAGAGATTTGAGGTATTTAATAAAAAGCTGAGATTCAACTCATGTCTAGACTTATAATCAAATGTTCAGTACACTGAGAATACCAACTATTAAAAATTTTTGGCATTTTAAAGCCAAAGATGGGGGGAAATAACCAGTATTGTTTTTAAAAAGTAAGATTTATATTTTATTTGAAAGGGCTTCATAAATGTGAGTTAATTCTTTTTAAATGTGGACATCATTATAGGGAAGAATCCAACTGATGAATACCTAGATGCCATGATGAATGAAGCTCCAGGTCCTATAAATTTTACTATGTTCCTCACAATGTTTGGGGAAAAGCTAAATGGAACAGATCCAGAAGATGTCATCAGAAATGCTTTTGCTTGCTTTGATGAAGAAGCTACAGGTAAGAGACGCCTTTTAAGATAGCTGTACGGAAGTCTACATTGTAATCCTTTTGTAGAATTAACTTTTCAGTGGGTATTTCTTGAATGACTATCTATTTCCCAGTAATTATGGCAAGACAATATAAAGTGCTCTAAATTCTGACACATCCTCTGTTTCTACAGTAAATCTAGCCCTCTTATTTTAAAAATTATAAAGCAGTTATTGGCATCCCCATGTATAAGAAGCAAAAGAAGAGGAACACACCATATTGTAGTGGCATTAAGAGGACAAAAGTGTGCTTGCTAACTATTGACCACCAGACAAAAAGTGTGTTCTTAGGAGAGCAATTTAAACTGGTGGTGGCTTTTATTATTAATAGCAAAAATAGTTATCACTATATGAACTCTGGTTTTCATTTTGATGATATGAAAACCCTTCAATTTTTACTATCTTGAATTCTTTATGTGTAATTATAGGGAACTCAATTTTCAGTGGAAATTTTTTAACCATTTTTCCTAACATATTTCTTGGCCTCCTTACCCACACTCAGCCCATGTGGCTTCTGACTTTTAGGGTCACTTAAGCAAAATAACCTGCCTTCAAATTTTATCATTTCAAAGCCATTTTTAAAAATTATTTTTTGGATTATCCTCACTGTTCATTGACTCGTGTTAATTTTCACCTTCCCCATTTAGCCAAAGAATGAGAAGTTTAGAGCATGCCTACAGAAATAGGTTAGTAAAATTGGAGGACACTGGAAACAGAAATGTCAGGCAGCTCTTAAGTCTTCTAAGTACCACAAACCTCACACAATTTGACCGTTTTTGATGGATGGTGAAGGTGTCTTAAATTTCTAGAAATACAATTCCAGAAGTATGTATCTTTTTGTGTTTAGTAAGACATGCTCATTACTCATAGACATTTTGCGTGTTAAAAGATTCTCAGAATAGCTTTTTCCCATCCTCCACCCCCCCTAATCTTTTTGTCTTGTATTTCATAGGCACCATTCAGGAAGATTACTTAAGAGAATTGCTGACAACAATGGGAGACAGGTTCACAGATGAAGAAGTAGATGAGCTGTATAGAGAAGCACCTATTGACAAAAAGGGAAATTTCAATTATATTGAGTTCACACGCATCCTTAAACATGGAGCAAAAGACAAAGATGACTGAAAGGAAATGTCAAATTCATGCCAACAGTTGTTATTTTCACTTTGTTTATTTCTGAGACTTTCTGATACTGTTTGCATGTACTCAGCTTTATAGCTTTTGCCTCTCATGTATTTATTCCAAACCATTTGGGGTATACTTGCACCTCTGTAATCAGACTGGAAAAGGGGGTGGCGGTTATCACTTTTTAAAACTGAAGTAAAATAGAATTGGAGAAATTATCATTGACTTGTGAAAGCCTAAGGGGAAAAAAAATCTCAAATTTCTGGTTTAGCTGGATTTTTTTTACACTTTTTGTAATAAATACTTTTAAAATAAAGGTTGTAAACAAAGTATTTCCACTAAATACAGATATTAGGTGTATTTAAGTAATTTCTGAAAATAAAAAAATCTAGTGTGTTAAAATCTCAGCGGCCAAATACTTAGTTATAGCTTATGCATGAATCAGAAATTTCTTCCTCTGGAAGAGGTGTTAACTCCTCTATTCTTTATTCTTGTGCCAGATTAAAAATATTTCTGAGATGTAGTTCTTGTTCAAAACCTTTAGCTCAACAAAAACTAATCAGCTGATGGCAGCTTGGGCATTTATTTAGTACTATTCACTGCTTCCACAAAATATGCAGATAAAGTAAACTGTAGAAAAAATGAGAGTTACCTACTTGTTTTGCCTCCATCTCTAACTTTCTGTCTACCGCCACCATCTTTGTATTCCCAGTGCCTCTTAGCGTCCCAGACACTGAATAACTAACTGTTGAACCAAAAGTTAAATGAGTGCCATAAGTGCCATAACCTTATTTGTATGAGGTTTCCTTTGCTCTCTTCTAATTTCTGATTTACATTTGCATTGTTAATTTGTAGTGCTTGGGTAGCTTTAATCCTAACCGAGCTATGCCTTCCATTATGTATTTTGAACATTTGAGCCCTGCTTAAGTTCATAAAACAAGATTATTCCATGTTTAATTCCAAATTTGTAAATTTTTGTCAGAATAGTTGCCTAAATTCATAAAATTATCTCAATAGAGGATGAATCTAAGTGCCTTAAAATTGGAATTTTGTCTTTTTTTTTAATTATGGTTTGTGGCTGTTAGATTTCTTAAGAGGAATTTCCATATATATCTTTATTGAAGTATCTGCCATTTGAATGGAAAGCCTTTAAAGGTGTATTACATTTTATCTAATATTGCACAACACTTTGCACTGAATTATATAATGAATCCTAGGCCTTACATGGTCTCTTCTTCATCTCTACAGCACTGAGCAAAATACATATCCCTTAGGAAAAAGGTATATAAAAGTTTTTTAGCTCTACCGTATTTCAAGTTATAGCATAGTCCTGTATAAGTGTTGCGTAAACCATAATTTGTTCTTAGAGATATTGCTTCATAATTGAATTTGGCATGTTACATATATAACACAGGTGTGTTCTATTTAAGCACAAATATTTGTACTTTGATAAAATGAGGATTCTTTAAAGCCAGTGAGTTTGAAGCAAACAAGTCTGTGTCTGCTCCTAAGTTTTGTTTTAAACTTTTGAAATCATGAAATAAATTTATCAATTAGAAGAAATGGGCCTGGGTGTTGTGGTGCACTCCTGTAATCCTTACTCCTGAAGGAGTGCTAAGATAGGTGGATCCTTTGAGCTGGAAGTTCTGAGCTACGCTAGGGTGGCAGTGGATTAGGTGGTCCCATTATGTTCATTGCCAATGTGGTGAGCCCTCTGGCAGCATGTCAGGATGCCTAAGGAGGAGTGAACTAGCCCAGGTCATAAAAAACAGCTGGTTAACACTTTCATGCCAATGATTAATTCCCGTGAGTAGCTGCTACACTTCTAGCCCATTAAAATAAAAATAGGGAGTTCCAGTCTTCCCTCCCCAAAACAAGAAAAATACCATTCCAACCTCACAGGCTCAAGATCATGTGTGAAAAGGCTTTTTTTTCTATCTATTCTAGTCTTTGATGGAAGTAGGGTCCTTTACTTGCCTCAGTATCCTTGTTTTGCACTTAATTTGAATATAAGTGGAATCCTTTTTAATAACCAAATTATATCAAGCAGAAGTTGGATTAAAACCATGGAATTCTAGATGAGACTTAATCATATTGGGACAAACTCATTCATAATTTCTTTAGATTACAGATGCATAGTTTTGAGTCATATCACCATCCCTTAGTGATCACTCAGGGTTGTGCAAAGCAGGGAGCTGAAGGACTGGCAAGAGGGACTAATTTGCAAGATTCTGCTGTCATTATCTGTATACTCAGTATTCTGCTTAGTAGAAGTTTGATGCTTAAACATTCCTTGAATTCTCTGCTCATAAAATCCACAGCCAATAAAGTGTGTTTAAGTGGAGGATGTTAAGAATGATAATCATATGAAAAAAAAAATGTCCCCCCTTACCAAACCAGTGGCTTACCTGTTTCGGTAAATCTGAAAGACTTAACATCAGTATTAGTCTCTATAAGGAGGGGTGGGAGGGTTGGGATGTATGCCAGCTTTATCTACGACTGTCTATAGCAAAAGCTCCTTTGCCTCCATCAGTGGTCTCCATTTCAGAAAGCATTCTCCATTAAAGAACTAAACCTTAGGTTTAGCAACAGTGCTCACTGAATGAAACAGCAGCTCCAAATTTAGCAACTACAATCACTACAGAGAAATCAATTTGACTGACAACCAACAGCTTCCATGGTAGATTCCAAACCTTCTTTAGTAACAATCTCCAGTGGAAAATCAGCATCAGCTTAAAAAAAATTCCATTGGAAGAGACAAGCTTTCTTAGTCTAATGAAGCACCCAACATAATGAACCTTTAGGGTATCAGCCTCACGTGCCTGGCTACAAGTAAAACAGCTTAGATTCTGTATAGGGATCAACTTTTGCCTAATAAGTAGCCTGATGAGTCCTTGACACCAGAAATTATGTGGGATTAAGGAGATGAAAGCCAGCCAAGTGGTTCAGTGGATTGAGTACTGGCCAAATCAGGAAGTTGAGTTGTTTCAGTCATTTCTGACTCTGTGACCCCATTTGGGGTTTTCTTGGCAAAGATACTGTAGAGTGGTTTGCCATTTCCTTCTCCAGCTCATTTTACAGATGAGGAACTGAGGCAAACAAGGTTAAGTGATTTGCCCAGCTAGAACTGTCTGAGGCCAAATTTGAATTCAGGTCCTCCAAAATTGTGGCACCTAGCTGACCCACGGCCTCAGGGGTCAGGAAGACTTGAATTCAAATAAATTGAAGAAGGAAATTATGAACTGCTTCATTATCTAAGCCAAGAAAATGGCAAACGAGGTCACAAAGGGTCAGGACACAACTGAACAACCACCACAAAAGAGATGAAGTTTTGAGTGGGGGCCTAGGAGGAAGTAAAATCCAATGAGTTCTCTACACAGAAAAGGAAAAAAGCTATGGAATCTGACAAATTTGGAAAGACGACAAACGGGATGTGGGTGGGAAGAGGGAAGGAGAGGAAGATAAAATGAAAAACGGAGTCAGCTGTGGTAGGGCTTTTGTCATCTTGAAAAGAAATCTGGGAAGAGTGTCAAATGAGCAATGATGTTAAATATGTTATGGAAGATGAGAAGTGGAAAAGCTTTAACACAAATCATAAGACTCATTTTTGACATATTCCTCACACATCTTCATTAACCCTTACATACTCATTTATGGACTCATAAATTCATCCTAGTTCACTTCCCTAAATGGTCAGTAGATATGAACAGGCAGTTCTCTGGGGTAGGAACCCAAGCTATCAATAACCACATGAAAAAAAAACAGCACTCCAAATCACTAAGAATAGTTGTTTAGTTGAGTCAGACTCTTCATGACCCTGTGCATCATATTGTCCAGGAGGTTTTCTTGGCAAAGATACTGGAGTGGTTTGCCATTTACTTCTCCAGTGGATTAAGGCAAACAGAGGTTCAGTGATTTGCCCAGGGTCACACAGCTTAGTGAATGTCTGAGGCTACATTTGAACTCAGGTCTTCTTGACTTCAGGCTCAGTACTCTATCCACTGAGCCACCTAACTGCCTCCTCACTAAAAATAAACTGCAAAGTCAGAATGGCCAAATAAATTGGGATAGATTAATGTTAATAGAATATTATGCTGCAAAAAAAAACAATAAAAGGGATGGATTCAGAGAAACAGGAATTGTATGAACTGATGCAGAATGAAAATGAGCAGAGAGCTCTGCTAGCAAAGAACAACCCACATGCCATGACATCATTGTAAATAAAAACAATTTTGTAAGATAAAAGAACTCGATGGCCAATTTTTTCAAAGGAACAACAATGAAGCATTCTACTGATCCAGAATGAGGAGCACTTCTGGATGTGTGGAATAGTTTTGCTTCCTAAGGTTATTTGACAAAAGGGAGGTTTTTTTGTTTTTGTTGCTTTTTGTTTTTTTAATTGTAAGAGGGGGCTAGAGGTGAAGAGACAAGCAAATAATGATGAAACATTTTTTTAAAAATAACAAAAGCAGGTTCCTAAGGAGACAAATAGGCAGGACAATTTTGAAACTAACTTGTTAAATCCATTATATTCTTTGAAAAAAAGTTGTTTTGGTAGAGATTCAGTTTAATATGCAATCCCCTTTGTTCTATTCTTTGTATGCAGAAAAAAAAATGTACAGAATAACAAAAATTATTTTTAATTTATTTAAAATTAAAATTTAAAAATTTCCTTAAATTGTTCATTTACCTTCGATAGTGATAATGGAAGAGGTGCCCTTCTCCCTTAACTAGTTCCTCTTTCTCTGTGTCAGCTTTCAAGCTAATATCCAGGCTCTCCTCTGATCTTCAGGTGCTTTGAACTCCTGACTAATATATCTTGCCAGGCACTTCTTCCTACCCCATTTACTCTAAGTTCTAGATATTAAAATAGCAGAGATGAACATCTGGCACATTCCCAAGAAGGTAGCCTGTCCCTCTACACTTACTGAGAGCTTTTTCTCAGATTCAATAAAGGTTACTTGCAAGCCTCACATGCTTTCAGTTAATGTTTTTTTTTCCCCCACAAAAAAAGTAACCAAAATTCTTCTGTGCAGCAACCTCTCTCCCTCCCTACCATAACCTGTAGATTCTCTGCTATGACAAGACTGATTTCTGGTCTTCTGCTTATTAATTTTGCCATTTCCAAATCCAAAGGAGCTGCTGACCTAGGGTACTGCAGTAGCAAAGAATTCAGCTTTCTGCATAGCCTCAGAAAGAATCATATTTTCTCAGCCTCAATGAAGCCCAGTCCGGACAGAAGCAAGTTAATGTCCCAGTTCTGCAACTGAATCTGTCCCTGAACCAAGTGGTGCTATACCAAGCCACATAATGTCCACGACTACTATAGGTAACACCTAGAGGCAATTGGAGTAATACCAAGCCACCCCCTTAAGGCAGAATCCCAGTGATGCTAAGAGCAGCTTTCTCCCCAGGAGGTAGCCTGAGAATTAAGTGCCCCAATTATTGTTGCATATCAGGTTCTATGGATTCTGTCCAGGTTTCTACTGGAACCAGTTCGAAAAATGGCTTTTAGTGACACAGTTCCAGAGTTGGAGCCACAAATGAGTGTGACTATTGGTCCTGGGGACACAAATTATGACAGCTCAAATTCACATATTGTGGCAGTCCTTGAGTTCACACTACCTGAACTCAAAGTGTCACACACACACACACACCCCCAGTATTGGAATAATGTGAATCACTTCAAGGGGCCAATCAACATCAAATTGAGAAGGCGGATTCTCAGGTCCCTACCATGTGACTAAAGCTGTTCTCTTCAATTCTTAGCTACTAGATCCAACACTTCCTCAGTCTTTATTCTTCTTGCCCTCTCCACAGTATTTGACATAATTGACCATTCATTTTCTCCTGAAGAGACCACTCTCTCCTCCAGGGATTTTCATGACTGCAGTTTCCTGTTTCTCCTACCCATGTGATTATTTTTCGGTCTCCTTTATTATAATATGAGCCATGACCCAACCCTTCTGTGTGGGTGTATTCCAACTCTTTGTCCTGGGCTCTCACCTCTTTTCTTCTTACCCTCTTTCAGTGAGTTCATCAGCTCCTATGAGTTCAACTATCACCTCCATACAGATGACTCAAAATTTCATATCCAATCTCACCTCTTTCTTGAACTTCCATCCCAAATCAGAATCACCAAGCACTTGCTGGATGTCTCTACCCAGATGTCCCCTAGGCATCTCCAATTCATATCCAAAACAGTACTAATTTTTCATCCTAAGCTCACTCCTTTTCCAAACTTCTCTATGTTGAGGGCACTAGTAGCCTTCTAATCACAGGTCTGGAAACTCCTTAACTCTTGATTCTCTCTCAACTCCATTATCAAATCATCAGCCAAGTCTACCTCCACATCTCTCCCATCCATCCCTTTCCACCATCACCCTAGGTCAGGCCCTCACCACCTCTTTGCCTATTCTGTTCAAGAATCTGTAATGGCACCCAATAATCTCTAGGATAAAATACCAACTTCTTTATTTGACGTTTAAAGCCTTTCATAACCTGATTCCAACTGATCTTTCCAGGATGATTTTACATTACTTCCTCTTGCATTCTACACTCCAACCAAACTGGCAGCCATTCCCACTTTCTTATCCTTGCATAGGCTGACCCTTTCCATGACCCCATTAGAATGTAAGCTCATTTCCAGTAGGGGTTGTTTCAGTCTATGATCTCGTATCCTCAGCTCTCAGCTAAGTGCCTGGCACACAGTAAGCATTAATGTTTGTTGACCAAATGCATTTGTATACTGGTAACTATATATGGTAGCTTGCTGGAATGTTCTCCCTTACCTCTGCTTCTTGCAGTCCCTATTTCCATTCATAGCCTAGCTGATGTGCCACCTCCTAATCAAGTCCTTTCCTGATGTCCCAGGTTGTCAGCATCCCAGATACTACTTTGTTTACTTCTCTCTGCATATATGTAGCACAGTGGAAAGAGAGCTAAACTTGGAGTACTTCAAGCCAGTTTGAAATTCCTGCTCTGCCACTTATCAATTACTCAATTTAATGTAATCAAAATTATCCATTTTGCTTTTTATAATGTTCTCTATCTCCTGTTTGGTCATGAATTCTTCTGTTCTCCATAAATCTGATAGGTAAACTATTCTTTGCTCTCCCAGTCTGCTTATAGTATCAGCCTTTATATCTAAATCATGAACCCATTTTGACTTTATTTTGGTATATGGTGTGAGATTTTGATCAATGCCTAGTTTCTGCCATACTCTTTTCCAGTTTTCCCAGCAGTTTTTTTCAAAGAGTGGGTTCTTATCCCAGAAGCTGGGGTCTTTGGGTTTATCAAATAATAGATTACTATAGTCATTGACTACTGTGTTTTTCATACCTAACCTATTCCAGTGATCCACCACTCTATTTCTTAGTCAGTACCAAGCAGTTTTGATGATTGCTGCTTTATAATACAATTTAAGATCTGGAATGGCTAGGCCACCTTCCCCTGCATTTCTTTTCATTAGTTCCCTTGATATTCTGGACCTTTTGTTCTTTCAAATGAATCTTGTTATTATTTTTTTCTAATTCTATAAAATAATTTTTTGGTAGTTTAATTGGTATGCCACGGAAGAAGTAAATTAGCTTAGGTAGAATTGTCATTTTTATTATATGAGCTCAGCCTGCCCATGAGCAACTGATGTTTTTCCAGTTATTTAGATCTGACTTTATTTGTGTGGACAGTGTTTTGTAATTGTGTTCTTATAGTTCCTGGGTGCCATTAGCCTTTTTAAAAAAATTAATCTGTCCCCATTCTATTACCCTTTCCCTTATCCTCTCTCAAGGTTCTCTGCAGGTTCCATCTCCTCTGGGAAGCCTACTACGTGCCAGGCACTGTGCTAGGTGCAAGGGATACAAATACAAAGAATGAAACAATCCCAACTCCAAATTTGTTGTTGTTGAGACATTTTTCAGCCGTGTCCAATTCTTCATGACCCAATTTGGAGTTTTCTTGACAAAGATACTGGAGTGGTTTGATATCTCCTTTTCCAGCTCATTTTGCAGATGAGGAAACTGAGGCAAACAAGGTTACCCAGAGTCACATAGCTAGTGTCTGAGGCCAGATTTGAATTCAGGAAGAAGGGTCCTCCACACGCCAGGGCACAAACAAAGCCAATGCAACTAAGATTAGAAGGAAGGTAGAAAATTGGGAAAGAATTTTTATAACCAGTCTCTCTGATAAGGGCTTCATTTCTAAAATATATAGAGAATTAAGTCAAATTTATAAGAATACAAGCCATTCCCCAATTGATAAATGGTCAAAGGATATGAACAGGCAGTTCTCAGATGAAGAAATTAAAGCTATCTACAGTCATATGAAAAAATGCTCTAAATCACTATTGATTAGAGAGATGCAAATCAAAACAACCCTGAGGTACCACATCACACCTATCATATTGGCCAACATGACAAAACAGGAAAATGATAAATGTTGGAGAAGATGTGAGAAAACTGGAACACTAATGAAGTGTTGGTGGAGTTGTAAAATGATCCAGCCATTTTGGAGAGCAATTTGGAACTATGCCCAAAGGGCTATAAAAATGTGCATACCCTTTGACCCAGCAATAGCACTTCTAGGGCTATATCCCAGAGAGATCATACAAATGGGAAAAGGACCCACATGTACAAAAATATTCATAGCAGCTCTTTTTGTGGTGGCAAAGAATTGGAAATTGAGAGGATGCCCATCCATTGGGGAATGGCTGAACAAGTTGTGGTATATGAATGTGATGGAATACTATTGTGCTATAAGAAATGATGAACAGGCTGACTTCAGAAAAACCTGGAAAGATTTGTATGATCTGATGCTGAGTGAAGTGAGCAGAACCAGGAGAATGTTGTACACAGTAACAGCCATGTTGTGCGATGACTAATATTGATAGACTTAACCCTTCCCAGCAACACAGGGATCTAAGACATCTCCGAAGGCCTCATGATGGAAAATGCTGTCCACATCCAAAGAAAGATCCATGGAATTTGAATGCAGATCGAAGCATACTATTTGCTATTTTTACGAAGGTAAGACAACTAAAGGAAACCAGAGGAGGGCAGCTGGTGCCAGCGGGTGAAGGCGTCCGCGCACGGCCAGTGTCCCAAGCGGTAGCTGTCTCGGCGGGCAGCTCGGACTCTTACCTTCCCTGTGGCAATACCAGCCAGCCGGCTTCTGCGGCCAGAGCAGGTGGAGGAAGGCGCCACTACCGGCGCCTAACGCCAGGGCAGGCCTTCGTTTTCTCCCTCCATTCCCACTGGACCCAGTTTACAGAATTCCCGGCCGCTCGGGCCCCGCCCTGCCCGGGGTCCAAATTCCGCGCCGGCCCGGCCCGGCCCGGCCCAACCCGGCTCCGCATCGCCCCTTCCCTCTTTCCGGATCAGAATCAGTGCCAAGCCCTGGCAGTTTGGAATGCGGAACAGCCGCTGGAATCTACCACCTTGCGGAACCGAGGGGGTGGTTGTCCAGAGAGTAAGAATGACACCTGCCACATCTAAAGTGAGAAAATGCGCCGAGGGAGTGGCCAAACAGCACAGAAGAAGGTCTTCTCCTCTCTTCGGTGTAGAAGCGTTCCCTAGTTTAACCACTTGCCCGGGGGCGCAGAGACAACTTTCCTCAACCCCGCGTTCGCTCCGACTTGGACGCGGTCACTTCCGGAAGCGGCGGAGTCCGGACGCCGAAGCGCTTTTCCCGTGCAGTGGGGGCGCTGGTCGCTGTCACTCGGGCGCCGGGCGGCTCTGGTCTAACGCAGAGGGGAAAGCCCTGAATTTCTCTTGGTTCTCTGTGGCAGCAGGTGAGTGGCGCCCGCGCCATTGGAGCGTGACATCTGCCGCCTCTCGGTTCCCGAGCTCCCGGCGCAGCTTCCGGGCGGACCCCGCCCCCCGCTGCAGCCGGCGGCCGTTGTGGGGGAGGGAAGGCGGCCGGGCGGGGGGCGCGGGGGACGGGCCGGGAGTCTTTTCCCGAGTGACTGAGGCAGAGTTGAGGGTCAGGGTCGGTGCGGGTCTTTCCCGGAGAGGCGGAGGCAGGGAGTGGGGGCCTGCTGTCTGTGGTCCCCCTGCTCCTGGTGGGCTTCCCTGGGGGACTCCGTCTCGGTCCTGGGGGGTTGGGTGCGGTGGGGGAGATGGATGGGATGGGAGGGGTAGCCGAGTCCTGGCTGGGATGGAGAGAGGGCTGCTGCCCTCGGACCCACCCTGGAAACCTTGGCCGGGTGGGGCAGGGTGGGGCTGGGCGGGGGATTGGAATGAGAGAAAGTAGAGAGACTAGGATGCCCAGCCTCGCAGCCCCCGGGGATGCCCGCCCAGCCTCGCAGCCCCCGGGGATGCCCACCCAGCCTCGGCGCCCCGGGATGCCCAGCCTCGGAGCCCCCGGGGATACCTAGCCTCGGCGCTCCGGGGTGCCCAGCCTCGGAGCCCCGGGGATGCCCAGCCTCGGAGCCTCCGGGGTGCCGCCCCGGACACCCTGCCTCTGAGCCCGCCATCCCCGGCTTGTAAGTGCAGAACGGATGGCTAGGTCCAGCGGCTGAGTTGCAGCTTCAGGTGCGCGTAACTGAGTCCAAGGAAGTATTCATTGAGCATCACTGTGTATGTACCCTAGGGTTTGGAATCGTGAGAAGAGGTATATGGAGGGATAGGAATCCCAAAGAAACAATATCTTGGCCGGAGGCAAGGGAGGGCAAGAAAAAATAATAAATATAAAATATTTACATTTTTGTGTATAAAAATGATAGATGTAAAATAGAAGAATAGTCAAAAAGATGAAGACACGAGTCTGACTAACAGAGGGTTTGGACTTGGAAGAAAAGGAGTAAATAAGATTGGGTAGGATGTGACTAGTTTATGGAAGTTTTTTTAAAGCTGGATTACAGGAGTTTTAAATGTGATATAGAAAGCTTTAAGGGGCCATTGTAAATTGTTGAACATTGGAGAAGCATGAGAAAAGCCTGTTTTAAGATGGTTAGTCTGGCAGCATTTATGTAGGAGGTATTGGAGGGAGGGGAGAGATAAAGATCAGTTTGCTGTAATTATAGAACTTAGAGTGTAAAATTTAAGAACCTAGTCCACCCCACCCCCATTTTATACATAAGGAAACTGGGACATAGAGTGAAATGACTTTTGCAACATTACCCAGCTACCAAATAGCAAAGTAAGTTGCCGTGGCTCTAGGTTCCTGTGCTGTATTGTAGTTTGTCTAGTGCAGCCCTCTTGTTTTACTGGTGAGGCATCTGACACTTAAGCAACTTGCTTGTAGTCATGTAAAGAATTTTAGGGCCCTCAAATATTTCAGCAAGTTGAATAGCTTTTGATTGTCGAGGAAAAGTAGGTGGACAGCTTTTCAATCCCAGGCAAAATTGCGAAGTAAACAAAATTTTAGTCATCTCAGCCTCTTTTTTCTATACTTTCTCCCAGTAGTTTAAACTTTGGTGTAAATGTGTTTCCAAGATGGGAACGGTGTCAGTTGTAGGAATTATTGGGGAAAATAGCAGTGCCTCTTAGTTACAATTTAATGTGGAACCACCTTTCTCCCTTTGCCCTCCTCTTCCCTTCCCTAATGAACCGCCCCCCATTCTTAGAGGCTAGGATCCAATCTAAAGTAAAATAATAGCTGACAGATGTTTTATAGTGCTTTAAGGTTTGCCACTGTCGTTAGTTGGAGTCTCTCCTTTAGCTCTGTAATGCAATGTAATGATCATGCTTTTTGTCCCTTGGGTCATCCATCTCTTCACAATTTTGCCTGAATAAAATAGCTGTTACTGAGTCACAAAATGCCCATCTCTATGCCTTTTCAGTGGCTGTCCTCCAGGACTGGAATATACTCATTTCTCATTTCTGTCTCTTCTAATCCTTAATTTCCTTAAAGATCAATTCAGACATCACTTCTGGGAAAACCTTTCTTGATTTTTTCAACTCCTGATGCCCTTCCTCCCTAACTACCTTCTATTCAGTAAATTATAAAGAACTTTAAAAGACAGAGGAGTTTGTATTTGATCCTTTAGGCAATAGAGAACCACTGGAGTTTATTGAATAGGGGAGTTACGTGGTCAAGGCCGATCATTTAGGATAAATGACTAATTATTGTGAGATCCAAGAACAATTATATATGATTAAAGGTGTTAGGTTTGCTTTGTTATAAGTTTTATTTGATTATAACACTAAATTCTGTTTGTGTGAAGTGTTCATAGTTTATTACTCAATGTGATCATCTGCTGGTAACTTTTAAAATGTAGCGAAAACATTGGTCTTGACTACTGTAGTAAGGAGTGGAAATGAAGAGAAATGGGGAATATGTGGGAAACATTTCAAAGAATTGACAGGAAAACTGACATTCATTCTTTTCCTCAATTTCTCCCGTATTCAAAGTTTTAGGTGAGGGCATTATTCCTCTTAACTCTATTATGTTGCTGTCTAGAAAACCTCATTCTCTTAAATGGAGTCAGCTGTCATGTCTATGCTGATCTGAGCTCATATCCCATGTTTACAAACCACCTTCACTTAAATGAGAGACAGTGTGAGGTCATGGAAAAAGCACTAGATTTTGGAGTTAAGAGAACCTGGGTTTAAATTCTTTTTTCTGTTCCCTATGCTGTTTGCCTTTGAGCAGGCATTTCACTTTTCTGGCTTCATTTGTTTCCTTTACAAAATTAAGAAATTGATGTGGATGTTCTCAAAGGTCTTTTTCATATTTTAGTTCTATGATCCTATGTGCCATTGTTGCCTTGGATTTATCATGTTTAAAATAATTGATTTTCCAAGTCATTTCTCTCCCCACCTCATTCCCAACTCCTCTCTGCTAAAAAAAAAAAAGCAAACCATCTTTTTACAACTATCTCATTTCTTTCAGGATATCACTGTTCTTTCAGCAACTAACATAGTGCCTGGCACATAGGAGTTTATTTCCACCCCAGATCTTACTTACATGTGCAAAGCACATAAAACATGGGTAATATTTGAATTAAATTGGACCATTCAAGAACAAAAGACCAAGAAAAGAGCTTTCAATTTAATTAAACAAGCATTTATTAAACATCTACACTCAAACAAGACACTGTGCTAGGTGCTGAAAGAATTGTACTACCTTGATCATAAATGAAATAGTTGTAAAGAGAAGCAGAGTTTTGTTTTTGTTTTTTGGAGATAAAAGAGAAGAAGAGGCGAAAAATAATGTGCTGTGTAGGTGCTTAGAATTAAAAGACACAAACTAAACATATCTTTTCTTTAAGGAGCTTACATTGCACTGGGGGGATACAAATGTATGCTATAAATAAATGAAAATTTTGAACAAAGTAAATTCCTGAGTGGTAAATTGGTGGAGCAGGAGTAAGCAGTATTTAGCTGAGCCTTGAAAGTGACCAAATATTCCAAAGGTGGAGGTAAGGAAGAAGAGTATTCTACTAATGAAGGACAACCTGTGCAAAAGTATAGAAGTTAGAGATAGAATATCATGTACAGGCTACAGCAAGATATGAATTATGAGAGGGAGAGTAATATGAACCCAATTTGGAAAGTTAGATTGGAGCCTTATTATGAAGAATATGTAATTACTCGGCAAAAGAGTTTGTGTTTTATCCTTTGGGCAATGCGGAGTCAGTGATATAGCCAAACCTGTGCTTTAGGAATATCAGTTTGACACTGTGTTTAGGATGGATTGCAAAGGGGAAAGACTGGAAGTAGTAGACCAGAGGTTCCCAAACTTATTTGGCCTGCTGCCCCCTTTAAAAAAAAATATACTCATCACCTCCCTGGAAATCTTTAACCCTTTAATGTTTTTTTTTTAAATTTGCATCATTTCAAAAATATATATTTTTTAAAAAGATGATACATCTTAAATTTAATAATTTATTGTAAATGTAATTTTTCCTCCATTGAAATTTTGATTTGAACACAGTATTGCATCATGTAAGTGTGTAGTATCGTATTGTAAACTGGCTTAAGACCTGTCTTCGGACTTCATTGGTTATAATTTGCATTTTGTGTGTTTATTTGGAAAATAATGTTATCACTAGGACTCTACTCTGTTACACAACAGATGAAACATACGAATGGTTTTTCAAAATTTTCTTATCTTCTTTCCTTATGCTTCCACTGCCCCCTTATTTTTATTCAGTGCCCCTTAATTGTAACTGAAGCTGCTACCACTGCTCTGCCCCCCCCCATTGTTCCAGTGCCCCCCAGGGACAGTATCACCCACTTTGGGAACCTCTGAGTTAGACCAGTTAGGAGGCTGTTGTAGTATAGGTGAGATGTGATAAGGCCTTGAACTGAGGAGGAGAAAGTGAATAGACAGGAGAAATGTTAAAGAAGTTGAATTGACAACACTTGACAGCTGATTGGATGTAAAGGTTGAGGGAAGGGAAGGTATTGAGGATGAATCTGAGGTTTCAAACTTGGGCAACTGGACAGAAATGGAATTAGGAAGAGGATTGGATTGGGGGAAAGATAATGAGTTCTGCCTATGGAGCATCTCAGCAAGGTAGTTGATGTTTGGGACTGGAGTTCTGGAGAGAAATGAGGCCTGGCTGTGGAACTGATGAGATCACCAAGGGGGAAGTGTAGAAAGATAAAGGGCCTTAGGACATAGCCCTGGGAGACACCTACTTATAGCATGCAAGACTTTGATGATGAATCAGCAGAAGAGATAAGAAGGAATGGTCTGGAGGAACACCAGGATAAAGCAGTATCAGGAAAACCCGGAAAGGAAAGCATCTTCTTTGGGAGAAACCCATTTATTGCAGATGGGGAGAGCCAGCAAAGGAAGGCAGAATCATTCACCAGCAATCAGGTACAAGGAAGGAAAGGG